GTTAAAACCCGCTTGGATGCAGCCCTGTGCCACGTGCTCTAGGTGACCCTGCGTGAGCAGGGGGGTTGGACTCGATGACCTCTGAGGTCCCTTCCAACCTTCGGCATTCTATGATTCTATGATTCTATGAAAACAGGATTTGTAAGCTGTTGACACATGCAAGTGGGATGGAAAGATGTCAGCAAGCAAAAAGCAGCAGTTATTTTCTTACCTTTCTTTCAGATTTTACAGTAATAACAGAACTCCCAAATCTTGACCTTTCCTATAAAACAAAGTTGATTGTTTAATATTACTGGTTTTAAAAGTTCGCTTTCTTCCTTTCTAGAACTCAACAGTTTGTCTTCTGGTTACCCACCTCAGGAGAAATCAGGACATACTGAGCCTGAAAGAAAAAAGAAGTAAAAGGCAATAAGGGGCTTGGAAGAACCATGCTGCTTACAGTGTAGAAGCCTAATGCAATAACCTGGGCCCCTGAGCAGCAAACTAATTCAAGAACGAACAGGAGCAGCCAAGTTACACAGCTCCAGAACTATGCATAACCTTCAGTTTCTGAAACCAAATCTGAGCACGCCAGCTCTTTTCATTGGATGTAATTTATTAGTTGTCCTTATACATATCAGTGTATCTCCTGATGTCACTGATATGTTTTCTTACCCAGTCCTCAGGACAGGGAGATATCCATGATTTGCAGTGACCCGTCACATCCAAGGCAGTCGTCTGGTTTCCATTGTAGATGTAGACACGGCCAGCTTCCCCGCCGAGCAGGATCGTGGTGATCTCGTTAGTTCGCAGCGGGGACGTCACAATTATTTCATCTGCACACATTCGTTACGGGACAGCATAACACACCAGAAGTCACATAATGCTACATCAAAACACAGAGTCGGCATTTACATATCTCTAGATGCCATAGATCCTATTAACGACTGTAGCTAGAATGTTTCGATTTGTGCCTAAAGTGTTTGGGACTTTGGGGGTGCCCCCTGAAAGGCACCATGGTATTACTTTTACAAGACAACTGATGAAGCCAACATGTCTATAGGTGACTGGTCTTCCCACTGCCCAGTGGGAAACATGCCACCTCTGTAACCTAGATTCATTAAGCTGTACCTAGACCATCGTTGTCCAGATCACTTAAGAAAACATCCCCGCCAAAGCGAGAAAACCTTCTGTCCCCGCTGAAGATGCTGAGCAGGGAAGGCTGGGCGCTCTCCGTCAGCTCATACATGAAAGCCAGCCCGGCTTGGTGCAGCACCGTGGATATAAAGGAAAATCTAAAAAAGCTGTCTGAGGGGAAAAAAACAAAGGAAATACAGCATCAGACATCACAGGAATTCAGGCTCAGGGCCTGGAAGGCATTGACAGCATTACTGACATCATTATTATTACCAGCATTACTGACAGCATTACTGGCATTACATAACATGCACAAATTAATGTAGTGTGGAACAAGGGCCAAGGTTTTTATGACTGACACAAATTCGCATAGAAGCAACCTCTTAATAAGAGTAGTTGTAGAACAATGCATGCAAGTTAAAGGGCATAGATATTAGAGTTGTACATTTTGACTCATGCAATTCCTTCCTGCCCACTCCTATAGCAAGGACAAAACACTGCCTTGTTCAGTTTCAAGAAATACGTAGGGTATTAACAAATCACTACTACAGAAATAATAGAGAATAACAGGTAACAAAGCTGTAAATAGAAGCAAGGCCCAGGAAGAAGGAAGTATTACAAGTATTACAGCTGAAGCTCTATATTACAGAAAACTGAAAAGTGTAAGGCATTTGCAGATGATTACAAGAAGAATCTCACAGTAATTACTTCTATATAGATTTTTAATGGCTATTACAATTTTAAAAATGTTAACTTTTTTTCTGTCCTCTGCTTGTGCATTTCAGAAGCAGACAATCCACGGCAGGAGCAATTTACAGTTCTGAGAGTGACATACCTGTGGTAGGTGCGCCCACCACCAAAACGGTCTTAGTGATCCCAGCTACGGATACGACACCACTGGCAAGGGATGTTCCCATTCTGCCCATGTCCTGTTAGATTTCAAAACAGCCCTGTGGTTCCCACAGAGCAACGCTCGTCAGTCACTCACAAGGCTCCGTGCTGGAGACAACGTCCTACCTTGTGGCCCATCACTGCAAACCAGGGCTCTGTGCTTGGTGGCTTATAGCCATAGACCTTCCCAACGCTCTGCCCAGCATCCGAAAAGGAGTTGCAGCTTGGAGAGAGTGCAAAATAATGTTGGTACACAGCAACACACCTCTTTTACAGATTCACCCAGAGTTTCTTCATTTAAAGGGCATTCCCCTTCTAGCTTAGCATAATGCTGGCTGCTAAAATCCTAGAAATCTATTTTGGTAATTCCCATTGTTGCTTTAACCTGATATATTTGGCACACTTAGGGCTTTGTCTGTCTTTTCCTTTCCTTATCACCCAATGAAATTTCGCACTGTTTGCTGCTAAAAACGCTATCTCAAAATAAAAGTAACTCTAGAGTTATTTTAGGTATGCTTATTATTAGCATTTTTGTACCCTCACCTCAAGAAAACCCACAAATACTTCTATGCCTCCAAGCAAAAAGATCCTTTACATACACAAACGAAGAGGGGTAAGAGGTAAAAATACTAATGAAAAAAAAAATGTTAAGTATGATCAAAGAAGACTTTTTCTAAAAAGCAGGAATCTTATCTATTATAAGCCTCAATCAGTGTAGGAGAAGTTGGGCAGGATGGAAGAAAAAGAGAGCAGTCAGAGTACATAACCCACCCAACACAATGCTTCCACGCAGGGCTGCCGATGAGCAGCAGCGTCGTGTTCTCCAGCTGACAGCTGTCCAGTGAAAAGCCAAACCAAGAATAGTTTTTTTCCCCCTTCACCATCCAGTCGGCATCCTCGACTGAGAGCAGACCTGCAGGAAAAGAAAAGAATTAAATCTGGCTGTACCCTGACGTGCAAAAATCTATTAGCAACCTCCAGAAGCATTTGGCCTTTTGTTCCAGGAACAGAAGTTTCTCTAAGGAAAGTTATATACTGTCCATGCTACGGAAGCACCTACTGCAGTGTAGATAAAATAAGTGTGGAATAATACTCAGCATGTAGCTACAGTGGCTGTTCAGTGCAGCTGGCCTCTAAAGCAGTGCAGGTCTACAGGAAGCTTCCAGCTTCTAGAAGCAAGCATGAAAAAGCCAGCAGACTGGCCTGCTCTAAATTGAGCAATTCTTGTAAGGGACAGGACAAGGCTGAAACTGTTTATCAGAACTAACAATGCTTCAAGAGAGGAGAAAAGTGATTTCAAATAATCCTGGCTATTGTTCAAATCATTGATGCTGTGTTTAGATTTTGCAAAGATGTCAGTTGTCAGTGTTTCAAAACTTTTCCTTGTGGCTTCTAACTTCATATAAGGTGGAATAAGGTGAAAAAAAATTATTGGAAAACTTAAATATCCTAATGAGCCTTTTGATAGCTGTATATCCTTTCCCACATCCTGTTAACTTCATTTAGTTTTACAGGCAGCATTTCCTCCCTCTTTCACAACAATCCTCATCACCTGTAACCATTAGCTGTATTCACTTGTAGCATTTCCCTTTGGCCACGGGAAGGAGCTCCTGGAATGATAAAAACTCATGGTGCATTTGCAGGCTTCCAAGAAAGACCAGCCAGCCCCTTTGTGACTGCCCATATGCAGCTGAATCCATTGCCATTTTCACCATTTCACCAAAAAGCAGTTCCTTACTACACAAGACACTTGAATTTCTATAATTTCCTTTAGTAGTCAGATACAAAGATAAATTTCTCATAAATAAGGAAGAATTTGAAGCTTTATCTGACTCATGAGACACTATTACTAAATAGAAACCCTTTGATTAAATTTCTTTAATTGAACTTTGAAAAAAATTATTGAACATAAACCATTCACGAACTCCAAGACAGCAGTGCAAGTTTGCCTGACAGAGAATAGAAATCAAAACAAAAAGACACCAAGAAAGTCTCTGTATAACAGAGAGGCCACACAGCTGAGCTCCTCTGCGTCACAGCACAGGATGTGCTGGGGATCTTGCAGTCAATGGCAGCCTTGGCTGCAGTGGCCATGAAACAGGGGACTTCAGTGTCCTGATGGGGGTAAGAAAAGCAAATGGCACAAAAACAGACCTGGCTTTTCAATACAGGAAAGATACTGATAAAGAGGGGCAAGCTCAGCACAGTGCCAGCAAGGGGCTGGAGCTCTTGCCCTGTGCAGCGAGGCTCAGGGAATAAGGTTTGCTCAGCGTGGAGAAGAGCAGCTTTGAGAGGCCCCACCAGCAGCCTGCCAGGGCCCACAAAGGGATTCTCAAGAAAACAGAGCCAGGCTCTTCACAGCATACTGAGGTTCTCAGTTTCTCTGTGCTTCAGTTTTCCCCACAGATGGTGAGAGGGCAAGAGATAATGAGCACAAACTGAGAAAAAGAGAGGCTTCACGCTGGCTATGAGATAGGAGATATTCTTCTTCCCACACAGACAGCCACACCACTGAACAGTGGGTCAGAAAGGCTGCGCAGTCTCCAGCCTTTTCAAGGCCTGACCAGACAAAGCCCTGAGCAACCTCGTCTGACTTTCATAACTGTTTTAAGCAGGAGGCTGCATTAGAGACCTCCTTAGGTCCCTTTCCACCTGAATTATCCCATAATTATGAACAAAAAATCCCAGTCATACAAGGTGTGGGAAGGTTAATTTACACAAGAGGTGTTACCTTGGGCACTTCTGTTGAAAAAAGAGTAGAAGGCAACCACAAATCCTCTCTGCTGCCCACCACCAGGCGCGTATGGGGAGCCAACCACCAGATCAGCCTTTCCATCCCCATCAACATCAGCTGCCAGGAGGGACCAACCAAAGTTACAGTAGGAATACTGCAAGAAACAGTTTGTTCAAGCTTGAAATGCACTTTAAGCCACCAATTCTGAAAATAAAGCCATTTTCTTATAGAGAGCTACTTTTGCATGCTGCTGATCAAACTAACTTCTCACACTCTCACCTTAGTCACACTTGCCTTTGGTGGGCTGAGCTTCCTTGCCAAAGCCTGCTCCTTCCCCTGCACTGCAGCACAGGCTTTCCCGAAAACAACCAACCCAAACAACCTGCAGCTGCCTGCACCACCCCCAGTGATACAGCCAGCACACTCCCTTCCCAAGCCTGCAGTCCAAAGCCTGCTTCAACATTTGTTCTTTAAGCCCACAGCCCCACACCCTTCCCCTCATTCCCTGCTAACACAGCCCCGCGTTACCCCAACCAATATACCTGGCAAGTTATGGTAACATCTGGTTGAGATCCCAAGCCTCTTCCCTCCGTGCCAAAATACACATATACAGCACCCTAAAATAGTGGGAAAAGCAAAACACAGAATGAGAGCCAGGGCCAGGGATGAAGTCCAAGACAAAGCACCAGCGAGTGAAACAACTCTCCAAGGCTGTTAACACACCTGCATTTTCTCACAGCACTGTCTTTCCCACCCCAAGGCCTGTGCTGTAGCAGACACTCTCACAACCAGACAACAAAGCAGGCTTAGGAAACAAAAATGTCACCATGCTCCTTTCAGCAGAGAATTACGTTTTCATCACACATTGGATAGGGGCAAGGAGAGCAGACAAAGATGCTGCCTATTATATTCGTTCCATGAACATTCACGTGGCTCCAGTGTTGACCACAGTTACTGAACACCGTGGCACGGGGCACCACGCACAACCGAAGCCATGCAACTTTCCAACCTAGTGGGTCTACACAGAAACATTTGCACTCTCATTTAGGCAGCTAGGTTAGGATGAATTTCTGAAGAGCTTTAAACTTAATGGAAGTGGTTTGAATTGACCTATTTTGCCTGAACGCTCAGATGCTGCTGCATGGGCTCATCTGGCAGGCACAAATCGTTAAGGCTCTGCAGCTTGATTAGGTTAGCACATGTTCCAGGGTCCATACCAAAATGTTGGTATCATCTGTTGGCCTTTTACAGCAGCCAACAAAGCTCATTGACCCTTCCTAAAAAAAGAGGTGCACTTGCCTCTCATAAAAGATATCTTAGGTTTCCAGCACATCAGTACTGCAAAGTTGGAATCTGATTTGGAAACTTATTGTGCAAAACGAAACCTCACTTAGGCACAGAAAGCTATCAGTAATCTCGTAAAAGCACCCAAAGATTATACATATTTGTGTTTATATAATAATGTCACCCAGAATAACAACAGAAATTGTCTCATTCCATTTTATCAATAAAACCAACCCTGATTGAAAAAAAAAACGGAAAATGAGGTCTTACTTTGTAAGTGAGAAATTGAGATCCTACAGAGGGTGCTCCCACTGCCAGATCGGGCACCCCATCGTCGTTGAAGTCCAGCACTGCCAAGGCAGAACCAAACCGGCCGGAAAGCTAAGAGAAGCAGGATGGCTCCCGTGAAAACAGCGCATGGGTCTTAAAGGTGCTACCCTCAAACCTAATGGACACTTGGCAGTGCCCAGCACAGGGAAGAACTGGAAGCAGAGATGATTAAAATCTCTTTTTAAAATTCTTAGGCTTTTCTTAACATCACTTTTCCCTTGAGTAATAACAGTCATACTAATATATCGAGTAGGAGTAGACTGTTCTGTCTGAGGATGTAGGGGATTTAAAGAATAAGATAATTGAACCCAATATGTCACTGTGCTATTTTTCTTCCCAGTCATTGATGTTATGTGTATGATCTGTGCTGTTAATAGCATTGTAACTGTGAACTCCTAAAAGACTCTTAAAGGGAGCAGCTGTTACTCCACAGTTTGTAATCACAGAAACAAATTAAAAGGAAATGTATCTCATATCTCTTCATTCTCCTCTTCGTGAATAAAGATGCTTACTATAGAAGATCATCTGTATTACCTAACAAGGTCATCTGATCCTGCTTCTCACTCACAAGCCATTCACCATTTTGTTAAATCCCCACTTTCTCTTTCATATTTTTCTTTTTATATTTTAAATAACATGTATTTTTAGTAAAGACAATACATAGTTTTGCAAGAAGTCACCAATTAACCAAAACCACAGCTTTCACAGAATTAAAATTAACCTGGGATAGTTTTAGATGAAAAAGAGGGGAAAGTTGCATCACTTGCTTATATGCGAGCAACCAAACCAGTTGGATTGTCATTTACAGAGACAGTCAGCCCAAGGTCTATTGTGTTCTATTACCCATTTATCTGTGTAAACCTGTAGGTCACCACTGCTTCAATTGTTCCTGTGACTTCCCTTCCTGTTCCTGTGACTTCCCTTCCTTCCCTTCCAATCTTAACCATTCTGTGATTCTGTGATCCTGTGATCCTGTGACTTCAGCAACAGTTTTATTTCTTGAAATGCATCTCTGATATCCTTTGACCAGGAAGGGCACTTCATGAACAACCTCATCCATATTAATGATGCTACTGCTCAGCCAAAATTCACCACACACTCAAGCAAAAGACTTAAATGACAAATGCCAGACTCATCCCTCACCTGCTGCCCCTCTAGCACTTGGTCTGCCTTCTCATCCAGATCCATGTCCTCTGGGGGCAAACCTGACCGGCTGCCATAGACGACATAGACCCGTCCTATCTGAACACGGCCCAGTGTGCTGTAACCTGGCGCTCCAACCACCACATCTTCACATCCATCCTGGTTTAGGTCAGCTGAGATCACGGCCCTGGGAGTCAAAAAAACACAGCATGAGCTGCCAGACCACCACCAGATTAGCAGGAAGCAAGTATTCTGCTCCTTCCAGGTAAGCCAAGATCTGCCTTTCCTGTCATTTTTTCTAAGAATATGCACTTCGTTTTCATATAATTGATTTTTTTTTTCTCTTGGACTAGGTAACCTCAGAGTTTGAAGGTCCGGCTTCCATTAACCCAGCTAAGACTGTGTTACAATCTGTTACAGATAGGGAGAGAGTCCCACTGAAAAGGGGAGAATACACTTCACTCGCTGCGCTGAATCCATCACTGAGTTCCCTACTTATCTTCCAATTCTTCTTGGAACAATCAATAGGCATCATCAGCAATTAACCCAGGAGAAACAGCTCCTGCAACCATCTAATCATTCCATTCAACCATCTAACAACAGCCAAGAAAAGGTAACAAGGTTCCTACATTATCAAGAACTAGAGCCAGAGATGTTTCAAAGTTTTGTTTCTTCCAGTCTATGCTTGATCACACACAGAGCTAAACACTCCTTCACTAAAGAGGAAAGTCACAAAAAAAGACAACTTTTTTTTTTCCCCCCCTAGAGAATGAGGTTTTCTGACTGGCTTTCACATTCTGAATGGAATTTTTGCTCTGCATATAATTTTAGTCAGTATTGACACAGTGAGGCTTACGATGTCTGACCGATGTCTGAAAGAAGAAGGTCCTACAAATCAACTGGCAGTTCTGACCAGCCAGCCAAAGACACTCAGGCACAGCTGATCACTGCTTGATTTGGGCTGATGCCCTGAAGTGTCTAAAAATAATATTTTGGTGGCTGCTCAATTTTTTCCAGAAATGAAGGTTAGACAAAAAAGTACCAACCATCCAAGTCTAGCATAGGGTGAAGTCAAAAAATACGATGCTGCTGGCTTGGAGATGTACTTAGAAGACTGTCCGTGTGGGGCTGCTAACACACTCCATACATTTGTTGCCAAAGCCTGGTTTAAGAAGCGGAGGGAGTTCTGAAACAAAAATAGTGAAGAGACACAGGGTTAGTTAAAACACAGGCTGAAGATCTATGGACCACATCAAAAGTCAAGCCACCGTCAGTGGAAATCACCACATTCATCTATGACTTAGGTCATGGGCATCACTTAGGGAAGAGGCAGAAATGTCTACGCTCTAAATGGCAGATTACTGAATAACTGCTCACTGCTCTGCTTTGCTGGGGCTTCTTAATTCCCCATAGTGATCAAATGACTCTCTGAGGTGTAAATATGAAAGATGATACATTCTGCCATGTTTGGTACTGCAAGATGCACTGAAATCTCTCTATAAAATGAGCAAAATAAAATAATTTAGTACTTATAGATGTACCTATCAGCACACAGACTAACAATCAGGGCAAATGAAGAGGCTGCTATTCTCATAAACAGATCTGCTCCACCATGCAGTATCCCAGACAGAAAGCAAAGCAGCTTATATAGAAAGCTGAATTTTAACCCACACATCTGTCACTTTTTACTTACTGCTGCCCACGCTTGCATATTGAAGTGAACTCCTCTCTCTGTGAATGTTATATTTTTTTTAATTGCTTCTGTAAGAGAAGAAGTTGTATTCTTGTAGTGTTCACTTCTGGGTCGCTTACTCCTGTTAAGAGAAAGGGGGCAGTAATAACAACTAGTGACACTGGATTAATGGGCTGAGTATTTTACACCAAAACTAACAATAGCAGATCGTTAGACTGCATTCAGCCAGACAGACATTTCTCCCATATATAAAGTGAGTTATCAAAAGGCAGCAGTTAAAACCCTATAAACTTATAAGATTTATGGGTTGCCTACGCTTGGTAAATATCCAGACATTTACAACATTTACAAAATCTAGTATCATCAACATTATTTATTTGGAGCATTTTGTTCGTCATCAATATTCTTGGAGCTCTGACAACATGAAAAAAAAGAAGAAAATTAATTTTCTTGCAGACCAAACTATTAATTTATGCTAATGCCTGTCTCTTGAATTCACATGCTGAAATTATTGCCAAAACAGAAGTATAAAAAACTCCTTTAAGAGCCATTCATGAATTTTTACTCCCTCCCTCAAAAAGCAGAAACTCTAACTTGTTGGCACCTAATATTCTAACACTTTACATTCATCTTTCAATTTTCCTACATTTCCCTAAAATCAGCCTTTCCCAACACATAAATGCATTACCCCCACACATTGACCAGAATTTTGCTGCAATTTGTAACCCTTGCAAATCTACTGACTCTGACGAAGTGTCAGTTTTCAACGTGGACATTTCTTGCACATTTTTTCTGAAAAAATTTTGACCAAGGTATAAACACGAAGCTAAAAGCTCATATCTCACAGCATAAAAAAAAATAGAATATGGGAAATTAAATGGAAAAAAAAAAAAAAAAAGCACCCAGGCGTCTTGACCTCCAATTGTCAATGTCTCAGTGCCCATGTTAGTGGAAGACTCTTCTCTCATCAGGAGGTCTTTGAGGCTTCAGGGCTGTACTTACATGTAGTTGTTCTTGTGTCCACTTGTGCATTTTATAAACAGAGGGTTCTCGGGCAGGAAGCAGCCACTAAGGAAATATTAAAAATGTGCTTTGAATATTTTCTCCACTATGAAAGCACAACTAAAAATACAACTTTTACCCTCAGCGATTCCTCTCTTAGAAGTTTCTCAAGAGGCCCTTCTAAAACTTAAAAGCTTCTTATTTATTTTAATGGCTTTAAGGAATTGCTTAGGATCTATAAGAATTCTGCATGTTATTATATAACCTTAAATGAAATTTTCTGTGGCATATCCTGCTAATTCTATTAATGTAAATCACTTATTTAACTTTGGAACACTGTGGACACTGTGGAACAACAAACCCAATAGCTTATGTCACACAGTCTTTCAAACACCACTTCCCAATATAGCTGCGGTGACATTATCCATATAAATGGAGCAATAGTCTTACACTCATAGTCTTACAAAGTTATTCACAATAAGGCTAAACTTGAACCAAAGCTTTAGAGGGCCAGAGCTTTCAGCATGAGGAGAAGGTGTCCTGTTTGCCTTCAGTGAGTGGAGGCATTGCCTCCTGGGAAGGGCCTTCTTGGACATAAAGCACATTCACAGTTGAAACTACCAGGCCAGGCAGCACCTCAGGGCCCAGCTTTGCTAAGCCCTTGAGTGGGTCTTAAAAGCTGCCCCCACCTCTTCCCTGTCTAGCATCAGCTGGCCATCTCAAAGCCTTGCTTGTAGAAAGTGGTGTGGCCATGCAGCAAATGCAAACTCAAGGCCTGTCCAGTGCACCTGGGTAAAACAGTGTTATAAAAATCCATTTTTTTCAAGAGAAAATTTAAGGTACCTGCTCTAGGAAAGGACCAGCCTGGGGAAGAAAAATTAAATAGGTAGCAAAATCTAAATACTGCATTTCACATCGACAGAAACACCATTATACCTGGTTCCATTTTCCAACATATGGCTTGTCTGCTCAAAAATGTTGTTTGTCCAAAATGCCATGTCATCTACCCCTCCCAGGAAATAATCATGGAACTTCTCCACCAGAAATGGAGATTTACCAGCATATGTGGGAAAAAGCTATGAGAAAATAAACACGTTTAGTAAGATGGTCTTATCTACCTTCATGTTTTCATGTTTATAAGGAAAAACAAAAACTAACCTTGGCAACAGCAAGCCTTTCTCCATGCCTGCAAAAAAATACACAATGCTTCAAATATTAACATGTTTCATCTAAGGGCATTAAGTTTTGTAAGCAGTTCATTTCAAGTCCTCTGAATTTTGAGTACAGAAAATACTGTGTGAGTTATTACGAACAAGAACATTTTAAATTTCCTTGCTGGTTGTTAATATATACATTTTTAAGAGCTGCCATGAGAGAAGTAACAACCTTTACTGCAGCCCTTAATTTGAGGCCATTTCCAGTGTTTATGAACGCTGTATGACTATTGGTAATTCACTGAAGTAAAGAATACAGGTAGCCTGGCCAGAGTATTCAAAAGCAGACACTGCCAAAATTAAAAGTCTTTGAGTTTTGATGTCCAGCTCCATGTATTCTGCTTGGACCTGAAAGGATCTTGTACACAACACAAGCAAGCCATCTGCTTCAGAAGATGTACTATTCCTTCAACACATGAGAATCATACTACTAAGAGGCCAAAATGCCACAGCACTTCAAGACACAGCTGCTCACTCATAAAAACTTAAATATGATAAACACATAGGTTTGTTGAACAGCTAAGATGCTGAGCTGAGATGTTGTAATCACGAGTTTCACAGTCTCAATTTGTATTGCAGCCTTTCTGATGATTCAGGTGCCTTACAGTTTAGGAGGGTTAGTAGGAAGTTTGTATTGCTGGACCCAGTGCTTCGATTTCTGACCTGGCATTTCCAAGGGGATTATCAGCATTTTCCTACATGAGTTGCACTCATAAAAAACTAGACAAAGCTATTCAACTTACAGTTCAAGAAAGAGCAGGTAGGTACAGTCAGTAATTGTGCTTTCTGTTATGATCTCGCTTCCATAAAATTCCTGGTAGATGGCTGCTAGGTCTTTGACAGGCACATACCTAAAACCAAGACTAATGTATTGTAACAACATCTTACAACACCCACACATCAAAATAGATAAGGAGATTATTACAACAACTTAGTAATTCTGTAAATATCAAAAGACTGTAAAAATAAGACTGGTATTTTCCAGTATCATTTGTGCCCCATCTACTCCTGTTGAAATAGAAATTTCCATACCTCCTACCACAACATTTTCCAGACCTGTGCCAGAGTTCAGATAATGCTGGGCTTTATCTAGACAGAGTCCTAGATGAATCTAGAGTCCTAGATGGACTCTGTCCTGTTTTCACTAAGTTTTTTTCTTCAACTAAAAACTGCAAGTGAGAAGGAACTTGTAAATAAATGTCTAAAACTGCTTCTTCCATTTTTTAAAAAATGTTTTTAAAACTTAGCTGAATTCTGCAGCATCTGGAAATCCACGTGAGATGTTGAGCTATTTCAGAAATTGCTTGGACATTCCAGCAACCTTTTTTCAATTACCATTTCATTAATAATTACATGCAATACCCTCCTGAGACAAATAACTTAATCTGTCCTGCTGTGTTCCTGTTGTAAAACTTCTCTTTCCTCTGTCCTTTCAGTTTTTCACGGCAGGAAATAAATATGCACACAAGAAATACCAACTTTAGTAAAACCCCCACAGAACCTGGGCTTCAGAATACAGATAGAAAAGGATAAAAGAATGATAGCATTATACTAAGACCACAGTGAAACCACCATAATCATTTAATATGAGCATAGAATAAGTATAAATAGTTATTCAAGAAGGTAATCTCTACTTCAGATCATTATCTCACCAATTTGGCGCCAGGTAGCTGAAGTCCAGCTCAAACTGACTCAGCACATCTCCTCCTACAGAGGAAGGAAGAAAAACAAAACACAACAACCCCAAGTCTTCCGCAGCTGTTGTGGACACCAGCATCATTGCTATGGCTGTGCTAGCTATGTTCATATGGCAGCGCATCGCTTCAGTGGCACAAATCTTTCTCCTTTAGAATATATAAATGGCTCACCTGAAAGTATACTCTGCATTTTTTACTTCTAGAAAATAAGAAAAACTATGCCACAGTTAAAAATCACTGTATTGGCCCTACTGAATCTCTGGTATAGTCAACCTCAGTCTTAGTTTAAATACAAGTTTCCATGTGCCCTACTGCCTCTCGTGAAGCACGGAGCACAGGGCCCGCAGATAAGGACAGCAAGGGCCTTTTGAGCTATGGGGGAGAGCAGGAGCACCCTGGCCTTCTGACACATTCTTGGCTCCTTCATTGCACAGGACAAGAGCCAGAATCATCCACAATAGTTTTGAAGTGGACTAGTTATACCAATTGGAGTATTCTAGCAAACAGAAACATTACCAAAATCACCAACACTGTGAGCTTCTGAGTAGGAACCACGAAAATCAATCTGGAGAAAGAAAAAAACAAGAGAACTCAGCCTATTAGCTTTATTCATCCTCCATACAGTGGTAAGAAAAAAAAATCAATTACCCAATTTGCCCAGAAGTTTGCCAAGTCTCTAACCTGTAAACTTTCTTGGGAAGTTTGTGTCATTACTTTTCTGAATTGCTTCCTGGAACTGGGCTGGCTCCAGCTTTTTGTTTCCCTCCCCACTGGACTCCAAAGCCAAACTATCAATTCAAATAACTCCAGTCATAGAATCATAGAATCATAGAATGCCGAAGGTTGGAAGGGACCTCAGAGGTCATCGAGTCCAACCCCCCTGCTCACGCAGGGTCACCTAGAGC